ATGTTCTTTAGACTGAACTGTCGCGCTTCTCGTTGCGTCACACCTCAACCCGCCTCAAAGCCAATGCTGATTGGACGTTCGTTTGGTGAACGGCCCCAAATTTTCTTTAACGGAGAGTCTCCAGACTGATTTGCGAGTGAAACCTTGAAAGCTTGCGAGATCAGGATGGTCTCACGAGGCTAACTGTCTCCACAGCTAAGATTGTTATTGGATTGCATTACGTGTGGTGTCAGTAAGTGACAAGATAAAATCATTACCAGCAGCATTTATCCTACAGATAAAATCATACATTAATTATTAAGGCAATTTTGTTAATCCCAGTGCATTGACTACATATATAATTATAAATATTGTAGTGGGAAAAAAGTATTCAACTATTCTCCCTAGTTAAATAAACAGAGATCGATGGATTTCACTCAGTGGGCACATTTATTCATGTTTGCAAAGAGAGAACAGTTCATCATACAGCCCTAATGGCACAGCATTCTGCCCTGTTCTGCATGAGCAGTGTTCATTCCCCATTACTTACAACAATGGGAAAGTAGTCAGAGTCAAAAAAATTACAGACACTTTGGTCAACAGTAACATGTTATAAATAAACCTTGAGAAAGAATCTGGTTTGTTATTGGAAGAAGCTATATCTGGTCTGCAAACACCATCCTGCAGAGAATGGTGTGGCCTTGTTTGCGAAAGAGACTGAGTGAAAACTGTTATAGTCAGTAAATAGGAGAAATTAATATATGAAATAAGAGAAATATGTAATATAAATATAATATGTGTATACTGCATATATCCCATGCACCTTTTTTTCCTTTGGCACATTCCTCCTCTCCTTTAACTATTTGAGTTGATGTAACGAGTAAATTTCTCCACTGTGAGATCAATAAAGTCAATTAAACAATCCAAATTAGTCAAATTACAAAGCAGAAAAAAGATATTTAATTACATTTTTTTAAGGCATGAAATGTTTTTAGCAGTAATGATACATTTATAAATATCCCCGACATCATAAAGTCTTCCTCATACTTTTTGTAAAGTTAGGCTCTGTAGGTTGCACACCTAAATTTAAGCTGAAGACAAACTTGTTCCAGCATTCAAAGTTGTTTCTTTAAGGTCTTATAAAAACTACTAACATTTATATTATTTTATAGTACAACCCATGGACAGTTCACAAATACAGAGCAACAAAATTAACTCTCTGCATTTATCCCCTTGGGGAGCAGTGGGCTGCCCTTCTGCGGCGCTCAGGGAGCAGTGTGGGGTTAAGGGTCTTGCTCAGAGACCCAAAGTGGCAGCCTGTGGGAGTGGGGCTTGTACTCAGAACCTCTGGGATCCAAGCACAATGCCCTAACTGCGAGCCCCCCACTCCCCCAACTACTGTGATTAAATAGATTTTTCTTTTATGGTTGATGCTTAATAGGTTTTATTTTTATCCCCCAGGAGTGATCCCCATGCTCCGTTCCCTGATGTCAGACCCAGTCCCCAGCATCCAGCACCAGGCAGTTCTGACCCTGGGTCGTCTGGCAGAGAACAGTGACAGGCTGGCTGAAGCTGTGGTGAAAGAGGACATCCTGCCTCAGCTGGTCAAACCTCTGACCTCTCAGAACGTTAGCATCTTCTCTCCTGGATTCATTATTTAGTCGGCTAGGCATAGTTTTTTCTCTAAAAATCAGCTTTGGAAGACGGTAAAATAAATTCTAGATCATGACAATCAGTAGCTGTAGTGTTAAACGGTCAGAACCTCAGAAATGAATCATGTTGGACCTTTTTTATGGCAGTCTGCTGGCTACTTCTTGTTTCCCTTGTAATAAAAGCTGTAAAACAAAGCATTCAGTGTTTAACCTTGAGTTAAAACCCCCAAGGTACAAAAAAAAAAATTTTTGAGCCTCTTTTTTTCATTTACATGAAACCATGTGTGCACTTCTATTCAGCTTGATTTTTTAAATTTTTTATTTACAGGATCAATTGTCAAGGAATGTGATCTAAAAGCGACAGATTTCATTTAAATCTTTAGCTCAGTTTATTCTAATCTCATTGTTTCAGATATAGTTTAGTCCAAATAAGATTTCCATACATAGAAAATAAAACAATGTACTGAAATGATCATTTGATTAGGAAATGGTGTAAAGTTAAAGCAAGATGCTCAAATACAAACTCTACAGCAGTGGAAAAAAAAAACTCTTCTAAAATGTTTTTTCTTATAGCAAAAATCCAAAATCTAAACTAAGATTTAAAAATGACTACATGTTCTATCACATATCTATTAGTTAACTTGTTAACATTTACTGCTGACTTCAGTTGGAAATGTCATCACATGTTTTTAATTCTTCTTTGGGTTTTGTTGAGGAAAATTTGATCTTAAAATGAATGGCTTTTTTCTGTCACCGAGTAGGAATCCTTTAACACATCAGCTAAAAGAATAATATGCAGCCTTACATCATTAGATCTAAACTCCCGTTAAACCACAAAATATCCTTTATTATTCTATGTTTCCATTGTAGCATTTTAATATTTTTTTATTCTTTCTAAATAGGGTGTCCACTTTCCCTAAAGAATATATATCTAAATGTCCTGAAACATCTTAACCCACCTTTTTCTTTCTTTCTTTCTTTCTTTCTTTCTTTCTTTCTTTCTTTCTTTCTTTCTTTCTTTCTTTCTTTCTTTCTTTCTTTCTTTCTTTCTTTCTTTCTTTCTTTCTTTCTTTCTTTCTTTCTTTCTTTCTTTCTTTCTTTCTTTCTCATAGCCAGTTAACTAATTAGTTAAAGGAATACCATTAAGGAAGAATCCAAACATTATACATTTTTAAAAATAATTTATTTCTAATAATTATGATATAGCAACTCTTAATCACTCATATGATCACTATTTTCTTCACTGATGTGTTTATTTGTCTGTATTTCAGAGGCTTTATAAGAGAGCAGCAGCGTTCCTGCTGCGTGTCGTGGCTAAACACTCTCCTGAGCTGTCTGAGGCTGTGGTGGCGTGCGGGGGGGTGGACGCTCTGGTTCTCTGTCTGGAGGAGTTTGACCCCGGGGTGAAGGAGGCCGCCGCCTGGGCTCTGGGCAGCATCGCAAGGCACAATGCATGTAGGGATAAGAGGGCTGCTCTCATTTACATATCCTTTGTTTTGGGGAAGGAGGAGGGAGAAATTTGGGATAAAGTAGATTTTGTCAACATTTTCATTGTTTTTAGGGAGTTCTGAACAGAAAGCAGGTTTAGCAATGCACTGTCTTTATATCTTTATGTCCACTGCCTCTGCATGCCACCGCCCAGCTCTGTCCCAGTCAGTTGTGGAAGCAGGAGCGGCCCCCCTGCTGAATATTTGTCTCTTGGAGCCCGAGATGGCCCTAAAACGAATCACAGCCTCCACCCTCAGTGACATCTGCAAACACACACCAGAGCTGGCCCAGACGGTGGTGGACAGCGGTGCCATCACACACTTGGCAAAGATGATCCTCAGCCAGGACGCCAAGCTGAAGGTGAGGCAGTTGGCTGATCACACTCAAACAGACCAAATGGAAATAATAAAAAAAAGAAACTCAACTTATCTCAGTAACAAGACTTAAATCAGCATTTTTATCAGTGCAAAGAAAAACAACTGGAGACATGCAATAATATAAATACTGATTTATGTGAAACTGATGTGTGGTTGGATTTGAACTGAAATATACCAGCAATGAATATAGACACTCTGAAGAGATGAGATCCAAACTATAATCATAATGTCTACAATAAATTGCATTTTTTTCTATCAGTAAATTAAATCTAGTCTACTTTTTTAATTCTAACAGCTAAGTGACACATTTAGAAGTTAAAAATGGTTAGAAATCTAAACAAAATTTGGTTGTAGGCAATTTTTTTAACTTGAATATATTTTTTTTCCTTTCAATAATTACATCTTTTTTTCTTTCTCCATCTAGAGGCAGGTTTTCTCTGCGCTCAGTCAGATTAGCAAGCACTCGGCCAGTATGGCACAGCTGGTGATCGAGGCTGAGGTTTTCCCTGCAGCCTTGATCTCCCTCAAAGATCCAGATGAGTATGTCAGGAAGAATGCGGCAACCCTGACCAGGGAGGTAGCCAGACATTCACCAGAGGTACTGCATGCACAGGCTCTCTAGTCACTGAAAAGGTGGATGCACTGAGTGAAGGCGTCCATGTTTGCGTTCCTGCAGCTCTCCCAGCTAATCGTGAGCTATGGTGGGCTGTCGAAAGTGGTTGACTTTCTTGGAGAGAGCCATGGACAGACCCGTCTCCCGGGGATCATGACGCTAGGATTTATAGCTGCTCACAGTGAAAGCCTTGCCATGGCTGTCATCCAGTGTAAGGTTAGAGCACAAGTTTTGCTGTGTAAAACCAACAAAAGGAAGAGAATAATTCTAACGTAGGTCATAGTTGACTGAAAACGTGCTGCTGTGTGTGCCTGTTCTCCAGGGGGTGCCCCAGCTGGCCCTGTGCCTCTCAGAGGAGTCTGAGCAGCACATGAAGGCGGCCACAGTGTGGTCAGTAGGTCAGATAGGTCAGCACACCACTGAGCATGCCAAGGCGGTGGCCACAGCTAACCTGCTGCCCAAACTGCTGGAGCTCTACATGGATGCAGGCAGCTCAGAGGATCTGAAGGCCAAAGTAAGGCGTAAAAGAATTAGTTCTCTTCACCAAATAAGAGGAAACATATGCACTCTTGACGTTTCAGCAAAATTAAAGGGAAAATATTATTTCAGAGTGAGAAAACCCTGAAGAAAATCCTGCTGAAGTGCACCTACATCCCAGCTCTGGAACCACTTCTCTATGAAGCTCCCAGCAACATCCTCGAACACGTCGTCTGCCAGTTTAGCAAGGTGAGGAAGAAATCAAAGACTGGCCTATAAAAAATCTGTTTTATGAAGGGGTTGGAGTGATTCCGATGGACTGGTCAATCGTTGGATTCTCAACAGGTGCTCCCTCATGACAGCAAGGCCCGCCGTCTGTTCGTGACCAGCGGAGGACTGAAGAAAATCCAAGAGATCGACGCTGAGCCAGGATCCACCCTCAAGGAGTACATCGACACCATCAAGCGCTGCTTCCCCGAGGAGATAGTCAGGTGCAGCTCTGATAACCTGATAAATAGTGTGTTTTTTTTTTAAATTGCAAAACCAGGTTCAGCTGAAACCCAACATCAGCTGAGTCAGGTTAATTGAAACACACAGCAATGGTTTATAATGTGTGTATTTTTGCAGGTACTACTCACCAGGCTACTCAGAGGTCTTGATGCAGCAGCTAGAGAGCTACCAGACCGACGTGAAACATGTTGAAGATGAAATATTTTGATCTCATTAAAACTTTGATTTTAAAGGGTTTGTGTTAAGTTCAATTCAATTCAGTTTATTTCTATAGCGCCAATCCACAACACATGTTATCTCAAGGCACTTTACAGTTCACCAGATCATACAGTCGAATTTCCATAAAATCAAAGTTTTCTATCTAAGGAAAACCAGTTGATTGCATCGATCCATTGACTCGAATGCAATCCCTCAAACTAAGCATGCTTGTAGCGACAGTGGAGAGGAAAATCTCCCTTTTAACAGGAAGAAACCTCCAGAAGAACCAGGCTCAGTGTGAGCGGCCATCTGCCGAGGCTGACTGGAGTACAAGGAGACAGAAGCAGAGATACAAAAAGCAACTGTAAAAGGCGGCCCCGTCCAGGAAACACACAGCCAGGCAGACGAGCTCCGAGCCAGCTCCCATGTCAGAGGATGAAGAGAGCACATCCAGCCAGTCACAGTCAGAGAAACAGAACTACACTGGAAAAACAGGCCGATCTCCAACATATATAAACAAAGGTGTTGATGGCAGCAGCACAGCTGATGTTTCTCTCCATAGTGGTGTCACAGCCAAACAGTAACAGACGAAGCAAAGCTACTATGAGAAAAAGCAGAGATAGCATAATGTTAGAGTTTGAAGTTCCTAATTGAAGGATGAAATACAGCTGAAAATATTGTCAAATATTAAATGAAAACAGTTCACTCAAATGTCCATAGTTTGAAAGGTCAAAGGGTCAGATTCAGACAGAGCAGCAAGAATGGTGAATTTAAGCTTATTAGTTTTGCATCTGAATCTTTTGCACTGGTCTTAAAAAAAGAAAAAAACAATTAAAAATGTGGGTTTTATCAGTATTGGTAGAAACAGTCGGAAGAGTATTAAAAATGTAAAGGAATAAAAAAAAAAATAGAAAGGCTGCTTGAAAGAGGGAGCTCTACTGCGGATTGAGGGCTCGCTCTGCCCCCTGGCGGCCATGCCTGCTTCCTGCAGCAGTGAGCGATGCAGCAGCTGCAGCGCACATGGCGAGGAGAGGAGCTCTTTGTTTATTGTCTGCAGGAGTGTCTGCTCCTTCTCCACATTTTACTCAGGTCTGCAACAAACAATCGGTGCGCTGCGCAACCAAGCACTCCGCTGCAGCAGGAAATCTGCAAATAATACCAAATATTATTTATTATTTAAAAAAAATCCAACCTGAAGCTATCAGCTTCCCCAACAATCATCATGCTGAAATATGAAAATGAGTCTGTTCAGGGTTGAAACGCTGCAGGTTGCTGCTCACAGCTTCCAGCATCTCCCTCCGTCGTTTGATTTGAATTTATTCGGAAATATAAAACAAAAACGCAGAAACAAACCGCTGAGTTCAATATATAAAGCTTATAAAAATGCAGCAGTGGCGACTGTAGCGAATAAACGTCTTATTTCAGTCATTTTTATTTAGACAAAGGCTCTAATTTCAAACGAAACATGCAGCTAAAATGCTGATTTAAACGAAATAAAATACGTTTATTAAGTGTTTGATAAAAGCGGGTAAAACATTTAACCACAGAACGAAAAATCAAACCATATGGACAAACTTAAATTAACCATAACGTACTTTTGTAGAATATCATCAACTCTATAATCTTTAAAAATAATAATTATTTATATTTAGACTATTTGCTATGATTTGGCTTTTTTTTTTTTTTTTTTATAAAAAAAGATTCCTTGATATTTATCTAATTTATATAGTTCTATCCATGTAGTTTATCCAGGTGTCACTGTGCGCTTTTAGTCGCTTGATTATGTTGCTTCACATTTATTTCAAATCACAGAATATGTTTGCATTTGCAGACAATAATGTGATAAGTTCTTTTTTAAATTTACGCTTTTTGCTTTCCTGATGGTTTGAAATTCAATGATAAATATTTCCATAATATATTTTAAAGGAGGAAGTATCCTGTAGGTGAGCCATACATATATATATATATTTTTGATAGCCTTGATCCTTTTAGCCTAATAAAAATAATAAATATGCAGAGAAGAAACTTAAACCCTCAAACACTAAAAGGGATATATTCATTTTTTCCCCTTCCTTTGTTCTTTAGGTTTATTTCCTTGTATTTCTGCTTACTTCTCCATTTCATATTTTTTCTGCTTCCAAGAAATTGCTCCATTTTTAAGAATGAGGACTTTAATAATTACTAAATAATTATAATCCTGAGTTATATAATTTTCCTCATAAAATAAGAAACATTTTATTTTTATAGCTAACTTTACCCCCCCCCCCTTCACTCAAAGCTTCATGCACTGGAACGAAAATAAAAAAAATAAAGAAACCATTTGAATCAGTTAGGCAGAACAAGTGCTTTAATTATTTGGAGCGAATGCTTTATGGAATGGAGTGTACTTGTTACTGAATCATTTAAGATTAAACAAACATACAGTTTCAACTTGACCTCTCTGCCACTGAAAGGAAACACTCGGCAGACTGTAAAACACAAGCATGCATACTCTCACACGTACAGTAACGCTCAAAGCAAACTGCCAGGGTCTGAAAGCGTCACAGGCTGCAGGGACTGAAGCATGCTCTGCAGGTTTTGGGGTGGTGCAAGAACATTTAGAGAAAAAAAAAAAAATCCCACATCTGCAGATGATGCCTGGTCCTGAGCCAGTTTACATTTCTTTCCCCATGACTCTGGATACGGTCAAACACACACATGGGAGCACTGCACACTTTTACCCCATTTACCACAGAGAAGAAAAGCAACAACAACAAAGAAAAAAAACAAAACAAAAAAAACAACAAACACGTTTTACTAGACACAATGTTCTGAAGCTCAGAGGGGGTCGGGTAGGGGTTCTGATTTGGTGCATTTAGCTGTGCCAGCAGGTTGACTTGCATGTTGGTGCTGATGCAGGTGCTTTTGGGGGGAGGAGGGGGGCTTGCACCGCACTGGTTTCTTCATTTGCACAAAAGACAACAAAGCTGCATATAACATGTGCTCTACTGCATGTGAAGGCGAACCCTTTACAGAGATGGCTCACTATGATAACCACCGCCTGCTGGGGATGAACTCCCCGAGACCAACAGATGTTTGGAGGAGAACTCAGAAAAGAAACAAACAATCGAATCTAATGTGGTCTGCAGAAGTGGAGATAAAATAATAAAACAAAAAAAGAAAAGAAAACTCCTCAATGCACTCCTATCTCACTCACAAAAAAACAAACTTAAAAGGCAGGAGCAGGTTGAACTAGCGTGGGGTTTAAAACGTGAGCAGATGCCACCTTCGGTCTGAGCAGAAAAGAAGCAGCTTCACACTTACAGGTTACAAACACACTCATTTCAAATATTTACCCTTTTTCAAAGTTATTGGTTAAAAAACGACGAATTAAACTGTTTTATTACACAGACTGAGGACGAGTGGATGAACCAGGTGCTGAATATGGGGGAGCTCGCAAACACAAAAATAATAATAATACATCAAAGTAACACACACTGTTCATAAAATAATCCTTTACACTTGTTTGAAAAAAAAAAAAAAAGATTACAAAATATAAAAATTAAATAATTTGGAGTATAAAGGCACACATCTTGCACAGTGTATACAATAAAAACAGTTATTGAGTAAGCAACAGAGGAGACTACTTAATGCGATTTAGGCAGAGGGGCAGAGAGGAACAACAGAGTAAAGAGAGGAAAGGAAACTCAGTCCTGTGACATGCATCTTTTTTTTTTTATTCAACATACAATTAGAAATGATAAAAATTCAAACAGTCATTCTTCATCACTGCAGCACCGTCACTCCTGGCTCCTTTTTCCTCTATGTTCAGAGATTAAAATCCAATGTAAAAATAGAACCATCAATGTAATCTATAACATTTAAACAAATATTATGTTGGAAGCTTTTTGCGTGAGTCGGAAAGAACGAGCCGACATGTTTTAGTTGGTAACGCGACGTCACATACAAGTCACTAACTGAACACACGAGTATATTGCATTTCCCTTGTTAAGACCGTTTCCACTAATTGGGGTCGTATTTGTAACATTTGGTTCCTTTCCTCTTGTGCAAAATATACAAAAAACAAACAAAAAAAATTCTTTAACAATCACCAAATTCAAAAACAGATAAAAAAAAAAATAGCAAGAACAATGAATAAACACCAGAGTCACAAACGAGGTTAGAGAATGTTGCTGTTGGACCAAACCAGCTACTCCTCCTGATCTCCTTCCTCCCCAATTGACTTAACACTGATAAGATGCTGGAGGTAAAACCGCCTTTTTGCAACGCGCCGTACGTCTCCTCCCACGGGATTAGAAAGGTCAATTTACAGAATAAAATGTCTAATATTGCCGTGAGTTCTTCCAAACACACCCGTGTAAGAGACGGCGAGTCCTGCCGTGGTGGGGGGCGGATCCGAGATCAGGCTTCTAGGTTTCAGTTCTGAGATGACTGATCTCGGTTGCTCTTTCTGCTGCGTGTGTAACAGAATAAAAGATCCTGACCAAGAATGAAAGTGCAACAGTTTGGGTTTTACTCATAAGGTGCTGTTGGCAACGGAAAAAAAAAAAAAATGACGGAGCCGTTTCGCTGTGAAATCTTTTTTTCTTTTTTAAAGAGCAGTGACTCACTCTTTTAGCTGTCACTGGTTACTTCGGGGCCATTCTTAGCAGCAGGAACAGAAACCGCGATCTCCCCCGGCAACGCCAAACTATTTCAAGAGGACGCTGGAGCAAGCTGCACTCTCATATCCCTCTTTTCTTCTCATTTTTGGAGATATTCAGTCTTCCCTTTTACATTTTAAACTACTGTGCATCACAAAGGAGATAAAAAAAACAAAGAAAGATAATCACAGACGGACACGGTGAGGAGTAAACACGCATTTTACAATTTAGCTAATGTGGACGGCTGTGGCCCAGAAGCTCAGAACATGTGTAAACAAAAAGGGGAAGATGAGCGATGAAGGAGGCAGCTTTGTTTGGCTGGATGTGCGAGCAGCTTTTTAAAGCGGGTTTGGTTGTTGGCCTCATG